GCTCTTCATATGTTCCTAACTTCCTGAGAAGCTTTTGTTTGTGTGCATGTTTGTTTGTTTTAATGTTAATTTTTGAGAGAGACAGTGTGAGTGGGGAAGAGGCAGAGAGAGAAGGAGACACAGAATCTGAAGCAGGCTCTAGCCTCTGAGCTGTCAGCACAGAGCCCAACGAAGGTGAGATCATGACCTGAGACACTCAACTGACTGAGTCACCCAGGAGCCCCTGTTTGTTTTAAATTATGAATAGGTGTTGAATTTTTTAGGTTTGTTTTCTTCATCATTTATTGAGATGATCAGGTAGCTTTTCTCTTTAAATCTATTGAAACACAGAATTCCATGGCTAGATTTTCTAATGTTAACATATACTTAGCTTTCTGGAGTAAACTCTACATGTTGTTACCTGTTTTTGAATACGTTATAGAATTTTCTTTTTTAAGATTTTTGTTGTTTTCTTGTACAGTTTTGGACTCAGGATGGTTCTAATATAATAAAATAAGTTGGGTAGCTCTCTATATTTTTCTAGATTTTTGGAAAACAATTGTAGAAATTATCTTTTTCTTGGAAATTTTTTATTTATTTATTTATTTTTAAAATTTTTTTTTCAACATTTATTTTATTTTTGGGACAGAGAGAGACAGAGCATGAACGGGGGAGGGGCAGAGAGAGAGGGAGACACAGAATCGGAAACAGGCTCCAGGCTCCGAGCCATCAGCCCAGAGCCCGACGCGGGGCTCGAACTCACGGACCGCAAGATCGTGACCTGGCTGAAGTCGGACGCTTAACCGACTGCGCCACCCAGGCGCCCCTCTTGGAAATTTTTTAAATCTCACCTTTTAAAATTGTTCTAGCATTTCAGTTTCATCTATTTTTAGTGGTCTCATTTGATTCCTGCTTTTTGAACTAATTTTAGAAAAAGGGTTTTTTTTGGAAATTTCTCTTAAAAAATGGTCCATTTTACTTGATATTATTTTTATTTTTCATTATTTTTTAAGTTTGCTTAATTTGAGAGCAAGAAAGAGCATGTGGGTGCCTGCGCTTGAGCAGGGGAAGGGGCGGAGAGAGAGAATCCCTGTGAGATCATGATCTGAGCCAAAATCGAAAGTCAGAGGCTCAAGCAGTCCACTGAGCTAGCCAGGGTCCCCTCACTTGATTTTTTTTTGTTGTTGTTGTTTATTCTTTTTAAATTTTTTTTTTTCAACGTTTATTTATTTTTGGGACAGAGAGAGACAGAGCGTGAACGGGGGAGGGGCAGAGAGAGAGGGAGACACAGAATCGGAAACAGGCTCCAGGCTCTGAGCCATCAGCCCAGAGCCTGACGTGGGGCTCAAACTCACGGACCACGAGATCGTGACCTGGCTGAAGTAGGACGCTTAACCGACTGTGCCACCCAGGCGCCCCGCACTTGATTTTTAAAAATACGTATTTATCTGTGGGGCAGTTGGCTGGCTCAGTCAGTAGAGCATGCGACTCTTGATCTTGGGATTGTAAATTTGAGCCCCATGTTGGGTATAGATAAAATCTTTAAAGAAAATTGTTTAAAGTTGTGTGTAGCGTTCTTTTATGTGTCCTTTTTGTTCCTCAGTGTTGTTCGTTAATCATGTATCTTTTTTCCCAGTGCTACTTAGCCATCCATCTATTTTGTTGGGCTGTTCAAAGACCTAGCTTTGAATTTTTTAAATGCAAAATGATCTATAAATACAAACTCACTAGTAATTAATGGAACCTTAACAGACTACTTTTATCCTCAGATTGGTATACACAAGAACTTAATTTGTAATATCAGGCATTGGCAGGTATGTAGAAAAATGTCTAATGGCAGTTTGACAGTGGAATATAAATTATTTAGAAAGAAATTTTGTGATGTCTGTTAAAATTTTATTTTATTTTTAAAGTTTGTTTCTTTATTTTGAGAAAGAGAAAGATAGAGCATGAGCAGGGGAGTGGCAGAGAGAGAAGGAGAGAGAGAATCCCAAGCAGGCTCCTCACTGACAGTGCAGCCATGAGGTCATGACCTGAGCCACAGTAGAGTTGGAGGCTTAACTGACTGAGCCATCCAGGCGCCCCTGTCTATTAAAATTTTAAAAGCACATATCCCATGACTAAGCATTTGAACATTTTGGAACTTAGGTTAGGTAAATACAAATAAATACACATATCAATTACACACACACACAAATATTTGTGTTAAAGTTTGTAATAGCAAAAACTTGCAAGTAGCCTAATACATATCAGTTAGGGAATTCCTTATGTAAATGATGGCATATCTATATGCTGGACAATTATGCAAGATTAAATGTTGGTAATATGGTTGTTTTATATATATAGACATGGAAGCATCACCACACTATAATGTTGAATCGCTGAAGTTATATTACAACATGTAGAGCATGATGCCATTGATAAAAAATAAATACATATCTGCAAAACAATATTATATTTTTAGTAGAAATACACTCATAATGTCAATGTAAAAAAAAAGCTCAATATGGAAAAATAAATTGATGTTTGTAGTTATCTCTGAAGATTAGGGACAAGACTGAGTGATGGTCAAGGGAGTTTAGCTTTATGTGTGAATTAAATGGTAAAGATCATAATCATGTATTATCTATATAATTGAAATTTTAAAAATTATGTAGATCTTAAAGTATTTAAAGCAAAAGTGCTTTTTTATTAAGAGTTTCAGAAATTCAATAACATTAATTGCTCTCTGCCTGGATAATAAATACAATATTTTATTTTGTATAAAAATACAAAATAGCACTTGTATTTTTATAAATACTTTGGAGGATTTTAAGAAGTATTAGATGGGGCGCCTGGGTGGCTCAGTCAGTTGAGCGTCTGACTTCCGGCTCAGGTCATGATCTCGCCGTGTGTGGGTTCGAGCCCCAGGTCGGGCTCTGTGCTGATAGCTCGGAGCCTGGAGCCTGCTTCAGATTCTGTGTCTCCCTCTCTCTGCTCTTCCCCTGCTCACTCGCTCTCTCTCTCTCAAAAATAAATAAACATTTCAAAAAAAAAAAGAAAAGAAGAAGTATAAGATGCTTTTTTCCACAGGAAAAGGCAAGTATTTTCCTAAACCTTGTTAGATAATCCACAACATGTTTACTACTCCTGTATTATTACACTCCTATAATCCCAAGGGTCAAACGTATTGGAAGAATTCCAGTATGGGAAATTATGTAAATAAGGTTGGTGGGATGTAAAGTAAGGCCTTGCCTTCAGTGTATGTTTTGTATGGTATTAGATGAGGAAAAAATTAGTTCAACATAAGTTATCCTTTATGACAATGAAGGGTTGTTTTTTGCTGTTTGGTTTTTAATTTTTTTTATGTTTATTTTTGAGAGAGAGACAGACAGACAGAGCACGAGTGGGGACAAAGGCAGAGAGAGAGGGAGACATAAAATCTGAAGCAGGCTCCAGGCTGTGAGCTGTTGGCACACAGCCTGACTCGGGGCTCATACCGTGAGATCATGACCTGAGCCAAAGTTGGACAGTTAACCGACTGAGCCACTCAGGCACCCCCCGTTTTTTAATTTTAAAATAGAATTAGGAACACTGTTTGTAAACTACTGAGGGAGAAAAAGAACTGAGTACACTTCCTAAATAGAGAGGCTATAAGTTACTCTGTTTCCATCATGTGTCTGAATTTATATGATGACAGTAGGAATAGATGAGATCAAATGGTTGTATTAAATTTTGCACTAACCTAGAATGATCTAGATATTGTGAATGACCAGAACAGACTCTAGTGGCTGCCACCCAGGAAGTGTATAAACATTTTCTGTTCTGATTGCAGAGAATGAGAGATAAGCTAATCAGAAAATGCCAACTTTTTTTTTTAAGTTTATTTATTTGTTTTGAGAGAGACAGAAACAGCATGAGTGGGGGGAGGGGCAGAGAGAGAGAGGGACACAGAGAATCCAAAGCAGGCTCTGGGCTGCCAGCCTGGATGGAGCTCATGTGGGGCTTGAACCCACGAAACCATGAGATCATGACCTGAGCCAATGTTTTTTATACATTATGCGCCTGCTTGCCTGCTGTAATGTTGTAGGTGAATGTAAGCCAGATACCTGACTCACTCAGTTACTGTTTTCCCTTGACAGCTTAGTCAAGATCAGTTGTCGTATAGCAGAGATGAGTGTAAATGTGGAACCGGAAGGAGAAAACTATATTGTGCGGAGGGAATGGGAACCAACCGGCCAGTTATTCCACACTTTTCTGCATGATGCTCTGAAGGTTGATGCTTAAACTGGCAGTTTAGTAAGGTCATAGATTTCCAGCCTTTTCTTGAAATGTATCTTTACTTTCTTAGTTTCTCTTTTTTTTAACCTTGAGTTAAAAAGTTGCCTTCATGTATTTTCATGACTAAAATCTGAGAAGTTAACTGTCTTTTTATTCATTATTTAACTAGTTGAGTGTAGTGTATTCTAGAAACAAGCTAGAAACGTTATAGAAATAAAAGTAATTCTGAAATAGCCAGGAGGAACCACACTGTTCTTAGAACCAGTAGTATTTTCTAGGGTCGCCTGGGTGGCTCAGTGGGTTAAGCCTCTGACTTCGCCTCAGGTTGTGATCTCGCAGTTTGTGGGTTCGAGCCCCGTGTCCAGCTCTGTGCTGACAGCTCGGAGCCTGGAGCCTGCTTTGGATTCTGTGTCTCCGTCTCTCTGTCCCTACCTTGCTCACACTCTGTCTTTCTCTCTCTCAAAAATAAACCAACATTAAAAAAAATTAAAAAAAACAAAACTTTTCTAACCTTTATTCCCTTCTGTATATTGCATTGCTGTAAATTGCAGAGGATTTGGTCATTGGGCCAAATCTTACTGCTCTTACAGTCGATCAGAATAAGTAGTTATTTACAACCTTTTGTCCAAATGTATCACCTCTGAAATATACATAAGCTAAATGTTTACGTTTGTACGTAGAATTAATGCAAGTGGGATTGTACGTAGAATTAATGCAAGTGGGAATCTTTTTGGTGGAGGGTTTAGAATTTGTTTCCAGAAATGATTGAAAACCTCTAATTTGCTGCTGCAAATATGGAAAGTCCATGGCTTGCTGGTGATTTTTAGGTTCTAAAAATGTTCGTGACTAATTCTCACATTTATCTAAAGGAGTAATACTGCCAAAAAAATACTCAGACTCTTAAAGTATCATTCAGGCCTTGTGTTTAACTGGTTTAATTTAGGTTTTGTTTACTTTGATAGCTTTCAAAGAAATTGAATGATCAGCATGCTCCTCACCACTTAAAAAGCAGTCGTTTACTTTTTGCTATTACTAAAAACTGATTTGTTTTTGTTGCTCATAGCCAGTTTTCTTTTTATAGGCTCTAAAACAGCAACAGCAGAAGAAGCAGCAGCAACAGCAATGCAGGCCAAGCATGTCCATCTCCTGCAACCAGCCTCTCTCCCTGAAGACTGTCAAAGCAACCAGTGACTCTGTATCTGCCAGGCCTGGTAGGCAGATTTGGGCATCTTTTCAGTGGAAGTTCTTTTTCCCGTATTTTTGTGTTGTTTTTCCACATTTGGATACCATATCATTTATTTTTAAATTGCTGTATTTATGTACATAGTCTTTTACTGCCAAATCACCAATATAAATCCTTTCAGGGTAAATGGGAAAATTTACACAAAATCATTGTGCAGTTACGAAAAAATACATCAATGAGATTTGCATGTTAGAAAGAGATCAGTGACTGACTTCCAAGATGTCTAACCTAATAATATTTGGAAGCTTCTAATCTGTGATCTTAAAAAGCTGATATTGCCAAGACACTCAGACCAAACTTCACCCATTTTCTCCTTTAATGATAAAATGTCTTCCTAAGAATATAGGCTACCTTTGAATTTCCATTGGATATAAAAACAGGCCTTTGGATTTTTGTTGTAATTTGGTTTTGTTTTTCCTCTAAACTGGGTTAGATACAGACTTTGTATTTTATTACACAGTTCATTTTGATGCTAGCTGATTATATGGGCCTGCCAAATTTAAACTGTGTCTTGCAGAGCTTTGTATTTTAGTTAGGAAGGAAATTTACCACCAGAAGCAAATAATGTGCTTCCTTCCAGAAGGGAGTTTATTTTATTTTTTAACTCTGAATTTGCAGACTCAAAACGCATGTGCAAGGTCACACTGCCTCATGTTTGAGGCAGTTTTATTTAGTTAGTGTTGAATGATTTAATTGTTTGATTGATTTCTGTCTGTAACCTCAGTGTCACCAGTCTTTGATATATTTTTTTCTCTTAGCAATGTGGGAAGGAAAGCCATCTGATGGCCAGTCAAGCAGCCCTCAGAACTCAAATTCTAGCTTTTCTTGTTCAGTTCAAGTGGAAAATCCCTTGCTAGGCTTGGGGAAGAAGTCATTCCAGAGGTCTGACAGGCTCCACACAAGTAAGTTGATTTACAAAGACGGTTCTGCATCTTAATTTGTCAACTGTGTGTTTGAAATTCAGCAGCTGTTTTGTGGTTTAGTTCTTTTTCTGACAATAGGTTGCTTTGTCCAGCATTATTAGTGTCTTATTTCTGTGTACAGAAAGATAGAAGGACTTATAATTAAACACAGAAAACTGACCCTTTTTTCCTGCTCCCTTTGAAATCCCACTAAGATGAGAATATGGAAATGCAAAAGATTAAATCCATAAGGGTGACGAAAACAAGGAGACAACAGATGGGCAGGCAGTGTCAACAAATTTTGAAAGATGAAAACTGGATGGAGTTTTTCACAGAGCTGAGCAACAGATGCCAGTAATAAGCAAGCCAGTTAAGTCTGCAGAACACCAGACAGGTTCCAGAATAGGAGATGACCATGTGTCATAATGGAGAAGGGTGAATGAAGCCCAGGGTTGAAAAGAAGACCTTTTGTGAAAGTTAGTAAGAAGCAGATTGATGCTTCACCCAAGCAGGAGACAGGAGATTTGTTTTGAGGTGAAATGAAACCATACAGACTTCAAATTCAAAGATACCACTCATGGCTAAGGGCAGATAAGGAGGCAGTGTACTGAAATCGGGGGAATAAAGAAAAATACAAATACCAATAGTGATCCTTCTGCTTGGCTTCCAGAATGCTAGTAGGAAAGCATATTTCTGCCACCACTATTTCCTTCCTTCCAGCCCCACCTGTGTTCCAGCAGGAGATGGATGGGTTGATACCTAAAGAAATTGAATAGCCTTAGAAGAAAGTCTGCAGCCAAATTTATAGATTGCAGTCTAAAAAGAAGCCATCTTGATCACACTTCTGTGGAGCTCATCAGTCTATAAGACCTACCTACCTATGTACCCAAAATTTCCGGTTGACCTTTTAAATTAAAAAAAAAAAAAAGTTTTAATGTTTATTTGTGTGTGTGTGTGTGTGTGTGTGTGTGTGTGTGTGAGAGAGAGAGAGAGAGAGAGACAGAGACAGAGAGACAGAGAGAGAGCGAGAGAGCACAAGCAGGGGAGGGACAGAGGGAAAGGGAGACACAGAATCTGAAGCAGGCTCCAGGCTCCGAGCTGTCAGCACAGAGCCTGATGCAGGGCTTGAACTCACGAACCGTGAAATCATGACCTGAGCCAAAGTAAGATCCTCAACCAATTGAGCCACCCACGTGCCCCAGGCCTTTAAAAAAAAAAAAAAAAA